GAGATCGCGCCATTGCACTCCAGCCTGGGTAACAAGAGCGAAACTCCGTCTCAAAAAAAAAAAAAAAAATCTAGTTGGGGTGACAGCTTCTCCCCACCTCCCTCACAGCTGATAGGCAGCCCTGGTGATCCTCTTGATTTACAGCTCTCAGCTCTGCATTTGTTCAGCACACACTGAAGAGTCCCTTGTTCTCAATCCTCGGGTCCTGGGCATGGGTGATGAATGTTTGAATGCCATGTGAAACAGTGCCTGCACATTGTCTTTTTTTTTTTTTTTTTTTTTTGCCGTTAGAACAGTTTTATTTGCAAAGTATTACAGATGTATGTACCAGAATGTAATTGACTATATAAGTGATGTAGTGTATATGTGTATTATTTTATATGTACTATTATTTATTTTACATTTCAAGGCAGACAATGAGAGGATATTCTCCCAGCACCTTCAGAACAGACTTCTTCCCGACCACACTTACTCAGTGGTGTCCGGGGGCGACCCATTGTGCATCCCGGAGCTTACGTGGGAACAACTTAAGCAATTTCATGCCACTCACTATCACCCAAGCAATGCCAGGTAATATTTTGTTGGAAAAGTTTGATGGTGGATTGTTAAAAGTTGACTTGTTTGTGTTCTTACACTTCATGGCATGGCTTTTCTCATATTTAGCGACGCTTAGGAAATCTCTAAGTCAAGGTAAGATTCTTGGCCTGATTTTGCCTATCTTATTGGATGTTGTTTTGGATGTTTACAGTGAGAGCCCTCAGTAGACTCAGCATGGTGGTTACAAACATGGCATTTAGAGCCCCCCAGAGAAGGGTCCTGCCCCTCCCCCAACCTCTTGCATCACATCCCAGCTTTGTTGCGTTGAAAGTAGGGGTGTCAGGGTGGCGCCCACCCCTGCACAGGATGTGTGACGCTTCCAGCCCTGTCCTTGGCACTAGAAGTGCTCTTTCAATAGTGATGCAGTTGCTGAACCTTAATTACATTCTCACTTTCTGATACATTGCTTGTTTCTTACGTCGCTAATATGATATAGTTATGTAATATATCTTATATAAAACACTAATATACTTACATATAAATGCTAATGTAAAAACACTTTAAGATTATTTTATGTAAAAATTATGAAAACTTTCAAGCATATAGAAAAGTAGACTAGAATAATGAACCCCAAAACACTCATTACATAATAGATAATTATTTGCTGAAGTTTTTGGAAGTAAGTTATAGCTGTTGTGATCATTTACCTCTAAATATTTGAATTTGTGACCCAAAAACATGAGGATTTTTTCTAACACAAGCTAATTCCATTTTCAGTTTAATACACTAAAACATACTTTCTTAAAACCGCCTGTTTCTTATACCATATTCAAATTTTCTAGTTCGCCCCAAAATGTTTGATGCACAGGGTCCCTCAGGTCTCTCCTGAGCGCCCTTTCAGGGATGGCAGAGGAGCATGCAGGCCGGGCTTCCTCTGGGTCCCACATGTTGCATCTGGTTGGCCGGGGTCTCCTGGGCACCCCCTCGCACACAGCAGAGGAGCTTGCAGGCCAGGCTTCTCCGAATCCCCCAGGTCACATCTGGTGGGCCAGGGGCCTCTCCTGGACGCCCCCTTGGGGATGGCAGATGAGCGTGCAGGCCAGGCGTCCCCCAGGTGCTCACTTTCCTGGTGGTCTGGCTGCTCCCTTGTGGTGGTGGGTGCCATGTTTCTGCGTTTCCTGAGAGCTGGAACTTGATTTGAGTCAGGCCGTGCCTTTTTAAGCAGAGTCTCTTGTGGGGAGCTCTGCATAACCAGCCACATCCTGCCATTGTGCAAGGCCTGCCCCCCTCCACTGGGGGTCTCACGCCAGCCGGGTCCATGCTGAGGGTCGGCCACTCCCTTGGGAAGATCTGCTTTTCCCTTCAGCCGAAGACCAGCTGGTGGGCTTGAGTTTTTGGTGTCCTGTGAATACTGAGTTCCTCATCAACCTATTAATGGTTTTCATATTCACTGAGGATTATTGCCTGAATCAAATACTTTATGAGAGTCTGTGAACTTCTCTAATTCTGTAATTTCTTCTTCATTTGTTTTCTGGACCTCTTCAAAGAAGAGCTCCTCATTCTGTTATGTGCTGTGTCTTGCGCTGCACGAGGGTTTGAAGACCTAAGAGGTAATAGTGGGGGATACAGACAGACATACAGGCAAACATAACACAGAGAGCTGGGCCAGGCGGCCCAAAAAGCTGAGGATGCCAGTCTCTTCAGCCCTGACCTGCCTCAGAGTACTTTATCTTATATGTTTACAAAGCACATCACAGAGGGAGGGTGCAGTTACTTAGAACAGCTTGTGGTTATAGTTCTCACACTTCAGTTAACATGCTTCAGCTAACAGCTATCTTGCAGCAAGGTCAGTGAGAACTGGTTATCTTTTTCTAGGCCTCTCTGCTCTTCTCTGAGACACACACATTCCCCTATGATGGTTTCCCTACTCTGGAGTTCACCCGAAGTTCACAGCAGCCTTGCTGCTGATTCCCCAGAGGAGGTGGGCTACTCTGGCTCTCTGCAATGATCACGTCAGCCGGGGCTGTTGGGTTGTCTTGAAATAGGATTCTGATGGAAAAGGCAGAGCCGGTTGCTCTCTGTGGGAGTCCAGTTTTAGGAGGAGGGGTGGTGCAGGAACTATTTCTAATGATGACGGAAGACGCTGTCTTTTTTTTTTTTTTTTT